GAAGCACCTTTATTTTTAAGAGTGCATAATGCTTTTTAACTGACTTTCCAACTTCTAACTGCAGCAGGTGCAGTGTTTCCTTTGAGATGACATACGGCAGGCTGCTGTGACCTCCTGTGATTTCATTACGGATTTTGCTGGAAAATCTACTTATAAAGAAACAATACTAGCTATCAATGCCAGTCTGATGTAATAAGAGGATGTGAATGTAATGGTGTAACTGTCATAAAGAGTATAGGCTTAGACTGTTGCCCCCCTCTACAATATTCTTTGTCAATCATTTTTAGCAGATGGGGCAAGAATTGCTGTAATTTATTTATAGAACGTGTTGTACTCTGTAAAACATCATCTAATGCCCTGCAGTATAATACATTCAAAACTCCACCACACCTAACCAAAACCTAAATGCCTAAAGCACAATTCCAAACGTTTGTAATACAAGTGTTATACAACCTCACGTGCAACAGGGGGCAGTACAACTAATACAATTAAAAGTACAGACCCATAATTTAGAGTATTCAATCATTTAATGTCCCACACACCAATCCTTATTTAAGAAACAAGGACATTTGAACAAAGGTAATACTCATTAACATTATAATAGGCCTAGTCCTTTGCACCCTAACCACACCCAGCTCCTCAGGATGTGTACAATTTGTTCAAGCAGTCACAACTGCTTTCTGTATGACAGACGGTGATATTTGCTAAACGAGCAATGAACCAACATAAAAAATGTAGATCACTGCATAAAATGTAAACCGTAATCATTGGTAATATGGTTATTATTTACACATTAATAGATGCATCGACATCAGTATATAATGCAGATAAATAGTAATATTATTATTATTTATTTAAAAATATGTTTCCGTTTGGACAAAAGTTTTATGCAAAAACAATCATGTACAAAAGGAAATTGCTGATTTCAGTACGTGACCACTAGATGGTGCAACATTAAGTAGGAAGAAGACAAAAAGTGTGATGTACAAAATGAATTGGGCACAAAAATAGTAAAATAAGATCAACAGATTTTGCCTACAAAATTTTTTTAAAGGATAACAGTAATTTAAAAATAATGATAATAATTTACTAAGTTCCAAATGTGTTGTGATGCTCTATCATCAGAGACATTAGGCCCAACACATTATTATATTATATTATATTATATTATATACTAATATTGGACCAGGATCGCTAATTTAAAGGTTGCACATTCACATTCAGACAGGTGACTTGTGAACCACAGAATGTGTAAAATCAGCCCATTACTATGCTTTGCACTTATCTCCAGATTGCACATTGCATCTCTGAAATAATCATATATCTGAATAATTCAATATCTCTGCCTTTACTGTAGTAAATGCATCTGTTAAATGACAAGTAACCATTCATCTTTACAGAACAACTTAGATGATTTACACACACAACACAGTATCCAACAGCACTGGCTCAATATCAAACAAGTTATTTTTTAACTACCTACAGGATCTGACATGTTTAATCTGAGGATGACAAATGAGGATTGGACATGTCTGTGTAAAAAGTTTTTTTTTTAACGGGGAAAAAAAAGCTCCTATGAGTGTGCTCCTATGATATAACGATTTGGCTCCATGGACAGTATGAGAAAATGAACGGAGCTATTTTTACATCAAGCATATCAGCCTGAACTTTACACTTTTCTGATAGAAATCCCTTTCTGTTTACATTATACCAATACTTTTAAAATCTTTCACCAGAACAGTGTTATTTGATCAATTTGGACTTTTAGTTTTGCTCTAATTACACATCACCCATCATTATACCTTCATCCTTCATGAGAGCAAAAACGCAAATGACAAAAGTAAATGTATAATAGCAGCACATTTTGACAGATAAATTGATATCACAATAGAAATATGACATCTGGATACCTGTAATTGACTAACTTCCTCTCTCCACTATGACTCATATTCTCTCGCTTAGTCACACACTCTGACGATCCTAAAAGCATTTTAATGCACCTTTTTATTTTGCAATCTCCCTCCAAGTCTGTTTGCTGAATTTGCTATCGAGCTTCTTCACCTGTATAGAGCACATGCTATTCCTAGTTTTGCAACATCGACATTGAACTGAATCATCATTGAACTGACTCGAGTTGAATAACGACACAATGTCGTCAGTAGAGCTGCTTATCACTGAATTGAACTTGTTTCATAATGAATGAACTTTAGTTACTGAACTGAACTAAACCAACATATAACTGACGGGATCTGAATAACGGCACTATTGTCTTGCAAGTTGCTTTACAGCAGAATTTGTATTTGCCTTATTTTTAAAGTTTGCATCATTTATTCTGTTACTTTCCAGTTTAATAATGTGAGCTGCTTTGAAACACTCTCTGTTGTATGACTTGACTTAGCTGAATCAATTGTGTTCCCTAGAATCAATAAAACTACTGTCCCCAGAGCTGAAATAAGCTCATAGTTGCTGGAGCTCCTTAGAGGGGCCTTGAGGAAGTTAATGAAGGACAGGTAAGAGCTGTTGACTCAGACACTGGAGCATGTGAATTCATATGGGAAAAATTACGAAAACCACAGCAGTAAAGGCATCAGAGATAAAGGGCCTGAGCACTGTTTCACTGTGCACAGTAACTTTTTGTAGTAGTGCATTTCTCAACAACAAAAAAAGTTGTGAATTTCTCTAGTTATTGTGTTGCTATGATATTTAAAATAACTGGAGATTATCAGCAGTGTTCTTCAACTAAGTGGCTTACTTAATCAAACAAAAATGTATGTACAGGTTAGAGTAAACTATGATATTCTTTGTTATAACATTTTAATGTAAGATTAAATGCATAATTTAACTGATAACCTAACTGCTTTAGGTGACACACCTCTGGATGGTATCGGCCAAGCCCATATGCATATCCAAGAAACCAGTTCATTTCTGTGGATTTTTTTTCCACGCCAGAGCAGACAAAGAAATCCTCTCTCCTAGGTGTTGGCTCAGACCTGTTACCTTTATTCCACTACTGTGACCCGGCCCATCACAGTCCCAGCACCAACAACTGAAGCATAATTATGTTTTTTGGCAAAAAGAACGAGCATCCGTCAACACCAGATATAGTTTTGTGAACGATAATCTAAAGGGGGAGGGGGGGGGGGGGGGTTGGAAATCGCTGATTTTTAGAAACAACCCTGA